CATATATTGGATATATTTTATTTTATTTTTTTCTCATCTTCCCTCCAGCTTTCTAAGGCCCCTCTACCACCCCCGGTGGCCACCCAGAGGCCCACAGCCCTTGSTTTGAAAAGCAATCATAAATCATTTCTTTTTAAATGATGTGAACTTAGGTTTATCTGACCCAGAAGGTGATGATGTCCCACTCGTCTATCCCAAACCGCAGTATGGAAGCTTCTCCGGTAATGTCCATCAGCTCCCACTCCCCACTGGCTTCCAGGTACTGCCTTGAGTTTCTCGATATCTCACTGAAGGTCAGGGCTGGGCTGAGCCTCACGTCACGTACTGGGAGCCAGAATAACAATACGAGTGGGAAACAGGCATTTTTAAATGCTAAATTAAATTATCTCAGGCAAGAAAAAAAAAAAAGAAAATTTCTTCTTCTATTAGTATTTTCATTGTGCAAATAGAAGAGGGAGCTTCTCTTACTGGTGTGCATGTAGGAGCCGAACGTAAACGTGCAGTTCTGCACGTCGAAGGGAAAACTGAAGATCTCCAGGTTGCAGGCCGAGACGAGTCGCAGCATCCTGTCCCAGCGAATGTGACCCGTGTGGTTCACGTAAACGTACGGACAAGCCTGGGAAACGTCATCGTCCACGCTTGGAGGGTGCACGCATCAGAAGAATGTCGAGAAACAAGGAGCGTACTTTAAAGTWGCAGTTCTGTTTTTGAGTTTTAGATGACTAAATTTATTTACAATGGACACAAAACCAGCATGCCCAAGAACTTGAACAAATTGAATTGTCTCTGTATGATCCCTGTTTMTCCGAGTCATTGCCTCAGAGGCTATAAATCCATCACCCGAGGGTCAGAATAAAGCAGCTGCAGGAAAAACTGGTAGAGCTTCAGGTTGGATGTGCACCTAAACACGACCCAAGGGTCTTTGGCTGGTCCCAGTCCTGTTAGCAGCTCTGACTCAAGGTGTCACCTCTGTTTTTGCAGGTCTATYTCGGCACCAGCTAGTTAGTTCTCACCCTGCAACATTGCTAACAAGTCAGATTAGCCCCAGTGTGGTGCAGAAAGGAAGACAAATACAGTAGAATTATGAAAGTGTTAATGTGTCAGGTTTTTTTGCTTAATTTTGAATAACACTTCCTTGCATTTCATTCCASTTGTGCCTGATAGAAACAGCCACACAACATGGATGAAATTTGCTATTTGTGTGAGTGCCAAATCCTAAAAAAGAGAAATATACCTCTAAAATCATAACTGAGTCATTATAGTTTAGCAAAAACATGTCCTGTTACACAACCAAACCTACCACACTGTTTTTTGTCAGATTAGGATCAAATATCACCACACCCATTTGAAGTTAAGAAGAAATCCTCCTGGTAATTAATCTACAGTTCAGCAATAAACAAAACATAATCACTGGAAGGAAAGTCTTTGGTAGATGACGCTCATTCGGGCAWAACGTCAATACACCCAGCTGCCATCTGATTAAGAAATAAACATGTCGTATATAGACTCAAACTCCAAATACTGCTGGATAACTTACAATTCATAAACAATGATGTCTGGCGTCCACAGTTCCTTTACAGGGAGAGAAATCCTGGTGACTCCCCCGCACTCATCAGGGTCCCAAACCAAGAACTCATTGTGCCAGAACTGCATGAACAGAGCTAATTTACCGTTAAACGTCCAACATAACATTAACATATGTTCACAGATCTGAGTTGTCTGTTTGTGGAACTAACCAGTCTCAGCCACAAGAAAGTAGTGAGTATCTGAGCTTTTTCATTCTGAAATACAAAACAATTACAGCAAACTAGTTTATAATCAACAAGAATTTTTAAGGCTGCGATATATTCGATGTTCTCCGTGAAAGAAGCTCACCACCCCGAGGACCGCATACAGGGTGAAGGAGAGGTTGGCGATGGTGGGACTGCTGAGGTTTACAACTGGCCTGAAGGGTTGGAGGTCAAACACAGCCTGCATGGACTCGTAGGTCGGACCACTTTGGGTGTCTTCACAAACCAGTTTACAGTGATACACAGACACTGTCCAGAAAGAGCAGGCTTATTTCAGCTTGAAAAATACATGCTGTGAAACATGTTGATGTAAATGTTAATATCAGATATCTTTTCATCAGGTTTTGTATTGAATTAGCTGAAAGTTCATTATAATTTGAAATTAAAACACACAGCTAAAAAAACTTGCATTTTTTGATACAAAATATATCATTCTAACCCCAAAATAACCTGTTGTGTTAGGAAAAAAAGATAGCTGCCATCATATAAACTGAAAACAGACAATAAAACCAGTTATTACCTGACACCAAGTGAAACACCAAGGAGAAACTCTGCGGAGACAGAAACATGGTGAAAGATGGTGATTAATGAAATAATCCTCACCTACAGTCTGTTAGTGGGCACTGCGCGCACACACACACACACACACACACACACACACAC